CTTTTAGATAAGTTTTGAAATTTTTTCTTTTATTTCGATGAGGGAACGGTTCCCTCTTACCGGTAACATGGCTCTCAATTTCTATATTACTGCATTTCATTCTATCAAATTGTTATACATGTACCAGTTTTGTTAAGGGGGAACGGTTCCACTTTAAAAAATTTGATATAGATCAGTTTTTGAAAAATTTATTTTTTATTTTGAGGAGGGAATGGTTCCCTCTTACCGGTAACCTGGCTCTAAATTTCAAAATTATTGCATTTTATTCTATCAAATTGTTATATCTATTTTGTTAAGTGGGAACAGTTCCCCTTTAGAAAATGTGTCATATATAAGTTTTGAAATTTGTTTTTTATTTCGGTGAGGGAATGGTTCCCCCTTAAGCATAATGTATCTCTTATTACTGAAAAATTGCTTTATATTTATCAAAACATGTTGTATTCTGTACATGGCTTTTGTTCTTCGGGGGAACGGTTCCCCCGAAAACATTTGCAAAAGAAACAAAAAATAAAATTTGGATGTTTACTTTAGCTGTTTGTCTTTTACTTTTCACAAAACAATACCATTACTTTAGCTGAAAATAATGTAAAAATAGTGCATTAAAAAGGGGAACGAGTGTATTTCCCCTTTTTAAAATATATCGAGTTATAAGTAGTATGTTTTTATTGTTTTCTTCGAAAGTGAAAATATGCTACATAATCTATGCATAACTTGCCATCATTCTGGTTGTAAGCGATATCCAATTCGTCGTTAGGATCGCACCGGCCACAGTAGCCTCCACATTTTGCAGATATCACGTTGTTGTCCATGTTTCTTTGAAAATTTGTCATTTTTGGTTTATAGCCCTTTGCAATCCATTCAACCTAAAGAAGAATAAGAAGAAGTAGAAGAAGGAATGAAAATCCGCCACTTGTCATACTATCATTACAAAATGTTTTATATAATATATATTATAGAAGGTTTTGATTCATTGTCACATCAGTGTTATATGTGCCGTGTGGTGGCCGTAAATATTCGCCAGTACACTTTATCAAAGATGATGTATGTTCCATCCTTGAAGATCGTTCAGCACGACATTATTATTGTGTGTACGATGCACAGGTTAGAGGTATGTAGTTGGATATGCTCCTCCTTTTTAACTTTTTCTTTTGACATCTTGTGTGTGATATGCAGGCTTCGAAACCTCTGGTCCCCTTTCAAATTCCATTTTATAAAGAAATCTGTCCTTGTTTTTCTGTTTAGGGCACACGTATTCTTTTTGTCGGTGATATTTCTAAATTCAAAATTTCACTATATTCACGTTTAATTGTTGCCTTCTACTTAAGCCTGTGCTAGGGGGCGTTCAAGTGCTGTCCATGAACAGACTTAATCAAACCGAGCTGGCAATATTTATAATTTTGTCGTTTTTTATTCTTTAGGGATTTCTTCCTACATTTGATTGTGTTTGTTCATGTGAGATAATGAAACAATGTATCATCTCTCAAGCCCCCTAGCACCGTCTCATAAATGTAATTTAGGCTTGTTTCTATTAGTGTTTGTAGTCATTAAACATTTTTGTTTACAGGCCATCGTCACGGAATGGCATTGATTGTTTTTCGGACAAAGCCGAAACTTAGGTACGTTCGTACTTTCATAACAAAATGTCGCTGAATAACAGCCAATCATAAAGTCTTCATCAGAAATCATGTAGCCTAAAAGATGGAATATGTATACCTCTTTACTGATTTTCAGCCCTGTGCCTTGCAACGAGATACTGAAATTTCCTTTCGCACAATACTCACAGCTACAACCGCCGCCTCTTCCATACGGTAGCGGGGGAAGATCAGAAATATCTTGTGTACAAGTTGTACTAAATATGGTGTCATTACGTATAATTTTCCCCTCCTGGAAATTATAATCGTGAAAGAAAATAGCTCATCAATAATAGAAATAGAGCATGTTAGAAGTTTAACAGCTTAAGAAAGTAGGTTGAACTTGCAATAATGTGTCGTTAAGGTAGCAAAATGTAAATAAGTAGTATTCAGAATTCCTTACAAAATACTAGTTCACTTTGGTTATAGATCAACTGCAAACAGAGCACAAGAAGCAACATTTTGTTCATCTATGTGGTTAATATAGTATGTTTGTTTAAACTGAAACAAATTACCAAAAGTTTAAAGTTTTTCAGAAATAAAAATGAAAACACTTCTGAGGCATAATGGGCCTATAATTATATGTAATTTAGATAAATTAAAAATGACATGAGTTTGAATTTCTAAACGACTAATTTGATACCATGAGATCGACACGTATTTTCTGATATCTCGTCAAACCTTTCTTTGACCCCAGATTCCCAGCACTGAATCCATAATTGTCTTTTTCATTTACTGAAATGAATATTAATAATGTTTACAATAGGACCCGGTTTACTTAGATCATCAATTTATTCAATTTTATATATAACTGATACACCATTATTTTTTCTCCTTCTTATTTCTTAAAATAATTTTGTAAAATGGTAATTAACATGCACATTTTGTCATTATATAAATACCCATCGGGCAATTTTTTATAACACAGTGCAGTTAAGGAATCGGTTAATATTAATTAAAAATTTGCGAGCTCGATGGTTTTAGAAAATATCAACATGTCGTTCATTTTAGCACAATACATACATGTACTCACAGTGACTGCAGACAAAATAAGGTGTATTATTTTCAAAGATACACGACATTTAGTTATCTTTAACCTGACTTTTGTTTTCGAATTAACCACTTAACATTATATTGAAAAAAGGCTGTCAGCGTAAAAGCGGAAAAGTTATGTCTAAAACCTGAAATGTACTCTAGCGGTTCTTCTGCGGACATTCCGGCGCAGTATAATTTGACCATATGACTTCCGAGGACTCTCGAATATAGCCAGTATTCACCATCAGTGTAGGAGGGTCTACATAGTTTGACATCTTTACATGTCCATGGGACTGAATACAAAACACCATACTAATATAGTTCATACTTATATAATTCATAATAATAAAATTAATACTAATATGGTTCATAAAAATATAATTCAAACTAATATTGTTCATGCAAATATAACTGATATAAATATAATTATGCTTATATCATTCATGCGAATATAACTCTTGCTTGTAAGTTCATACTTATATAATTCGTTCTAATATAATTCATATAAAAAAATCATGTTTATATAATTCAAACAAATAGAATGCATACTTATATGATTCGTACTTCTATGATTAATGCTGATATACTTTATGCTTATATAATTCATGCCGATATAATTCATGCTTATAAAGTTTTCACTTATGTAATGCATACTAATATGATTCGAAACTTCTATAATTCATGTTTATATAATTCATGCTCATAAAATTCATGCAAATGTAATTCATGTTAATAAATTTCATACTTATATAGATCATATTGATATCATTTATACTAATATAATTTACGCTTATTAAATAAATACTTACATAATTCATACTTATATAATTCATGCTGATATTAATTCATGCTTATATAATTCATATTAATATAATGCATGCTTATAAAATTCTTACTTCTATAATTCAAATTATTATGATTCATGCTAATATAATTTACGCAAATATAATTTATAATTTAATACTTATATAATTCATTTTAATACAATTCATGCAAATATAGAAAAAACTAATAAAATCCATGCTAATAAAATTTATGCTAAATACCATTAGAACTATTGAAGGGTTTCCTCTATAAATACAAAGCAATTTTACAGATGACTGAAGAAAAATTACACAAACTGATTTAATAGAACATCATATTGTTAGGAAATGATTAAACCTAAATAAACTTAATACAGCTGTGTTATTAATATGTTGTGTAAAATTTGGAACGATTCTTGAAAGACCGCGGAAATATGTGACAAATGATCCGTAACCTATAACAGGAAGTAAACTATTCAATTGCAAACTATAAACCTTACATAATTCATGTCAACTATGAAGGAACTCATAACATCCTTATTTTATTAGTTTACTTTCTGTTATAGGTTACGGATCATATATACATTGTTTTTCTCTTTTAGGACAATTTCACAATGCATTTAACAAGGCGTTAATGTGCAGAATTAACAAACAAATAATTGATAAACAATTGCCCATAAATGATTACAGACACAAAGTCATTTTCCTGTTTATTAATTATATATACATGTCAATATTTCGTTAAACATCGGTTATTAGGAGTGTGGACGGTAGCTAACTACTACCACTTTCGTCAATGAAAATGGTTTTCAAGACTTTCAAGTTTGCCGTTTTGTGTGAATTTAGGGATAATATTTATAAATATTTCTATTTTGTACATGTAAAGGACTTGGGTTATTCTAAACTTATATATGTGACAACTGACAAAATAAATGTAGTTTAAATTGAATTTGTTATAGTTTTTATCTGAAATAGTTAATATTTACAAAAAGAGCAACAAAAACAACAATTATTAAATTCATCACGGAGTTACATACAACATCAAGAAATTAAAACTAGTAATTTCTACATAGACAATTAAGAGGATTTCCGTACTTATTAATTTGCAGACATGTGAGGCCCCTTTTTGATAACATTGTTGGTTGGCTTTACACGGCCTTGAACTACAGCTTCCAACCATTGTCTGTAAAAAAGGAGGAAAATCAAAAACCATATATGTTTCATCTAAGCGACCATCAGCTTTTATTTTCTGTCCTAAAAATGATTCCATTTTTTCTTGTTTTTTTTTCAAACTTAGTTTTTCAGTAATTTTAGCTTTGACAAAAGTGCATTATATCACTGCAAAGCCTCCTAATACTTCTGCGTCCCAAGAGGTACTTATAACACTTCAGTGACGGTCGTTTTCAAAAATAGAAGATCAAAAATGAATTACCAGCTTTACTAATTTATATAGAGAGAGCAGACGGATCGCAACTTTCATTTTCAACCTAAATTATTTTGATTTGAAAATTATATCAATCGATTTATCTAAAAATAACATATCTAATCTTTAGAAATTGCAATTAAATAGGTATTTTCTTATTTCGATAGACAAAAACATGAAAATAAAAAAGAATAAAAAATGTTTAGACAATCAAAATTAATGTAAGTTTAAGGTCAAATTTATATCTGAATTTTTCAACATTTTGAATTTCACATTGGTGTCATTCTGTTAATGATGTAAAAAGTCATCCCAGTTTAAATAAAATTATAAAAATTTGACCTTGATGGTCAAGGTTTATATAAAAGTAAAGATCAAACTTGACCACTTAAACATTTCGGCTTTGTCATAAGTGTTGATTTGTCCAAGTATAAGTCAAAATTGTAAATGCATAAGAGTTATAATATGTTAGGGGTAAATTAATTTGTATGGCCTTGACGGTCATTTTAAAGTCATTTTAAAATCATTTAAAGCACCAATTAGGTCAGAATAGATTTTTTCCAAGAATATCTCAAATCTTTAAAAAAAAATATGTACGGCCAATTTACGTAATTATCTGACAGTCAATGTCATTTAAATGTCAAGGTCCTATTTGAGTATTTTTTCATTATGTTGATTTAGTCAGAAGCGTGTTCTTTTCCGATTTGATTTGAATCTCTAAACAAATAACAACCAATTTTAGGGGGACAAATCAATAATTTGACTTTAAATGTCAAGGTCATTTTTTTCAAATTATGTTGATTGTCCATTTTTTATATTACTCAAAATATACCCAATTATAGCAAAATTTTGTGAATATTTTACCTTCAAGTTCAAAGTGTTTCTTTTTCAAATTTAAGGTAAAGTTCCCTTTAGTCTTCTTGCAAGAATTTTCTTAAAGTTTTTTTTTGTGATCAAGTATTATGATGATCTATTTATAGAACTCATTTAAATATTCGATTCCACTTCGGTTCTGTCCGTGTAGTATGAGAATAAATAGGGAGTATATAACTAATGTTTTGAAGGTCACACCAGCTTAATGAAAAGGTCGGGATTAGGTCCGCAGTAGTACAGTCGGTTAAGTGATGGCCTTATATATGAGAGGTCCGTGGTTCGATCCCTACTGCTGCCATTGTTTTGGACCTACTCTTTCTTTAATTTTTGCAGTATTTCTTACTGGAAACGACCGAGTGCTTGCATAATTTAGTTGGAATATAAAGCAACTTAGAAACAATGTTTGGTCTCGATTTTAATCTGAATGAAATAAAATGAAATTGAATATTAATATTTAAACAGAGTATGTGCTTTACCAAAATAAGTGCAAAACATTTTAAAACATAACGGACAACATAAAATACAATCAAACAATTTTATAATGTTGAAAATGTAAATAAGGAAATAAAAACATGTACCTTTGCGGTTCCGATCTAACAAGACGTAGGACTTTTAGAAATTATAACCCCGTAATTTACCCTATTGAGCTATGACGCTCAATATAATAATTATTTTATACACAGAAAAAATAGGCAATAATCTATCGAAAAAATAGTGTGTACATTGACCGTATAATTAGTATGCAATTGACAGGTTAATAAAATCAAACAATAACAAAGTTATAGCCAGTTATATTGTTTGGCAATATTGACCTGAGACTGATTTATTTTCGGTAGAGGTTTTTGTTAGTTTCCGTAATTTATTACGATTTACCAATTGATTTTAATGATAGAACAATTATCGATACATTAAATCAAAGTTACCACCCAGTGGACAAGTGGTTAGTATAATGGCGTAACTATCGCGCAGTTGCAAGTTCAAATCCTTATATTTTTTACAGATTTCTCTTACTATTTTTTTAAATATATGCAACATTAGTGGTGGATGAATAATTTACGAACAAAGTTATTTACAAATTGCAAAACGGCACTCTCAATTCACGTTAATTACTTAATAAATGTCATAATATGGAAAAAATAGCCCTAACTGCCGTAGAAATATTGTAAAAAAATACTATAAATCTTTTCTTAAAATTTGGTGCAAATTTCTGTGATTTTTCCTTTTTCTTTTTTTTTTTTTTTTTTTTTTTTTGGCTAATCTAGAGGCACGCAGCATTATAACAAAATATTCTCCCATCGGTATACACATAGCAATTTTTTGTGTGGATAACTTGAAGTACTTACGCTAGGGCCATTCGCTGATATCAGCGAAAATAGAGCCAACTTTGGTCTCAAACTCCAATGGATCAACAGATGATCGGTTAGCACCGTTTAATTTACATATGTTCTCCGGCCTGTCATAGTCAATAGATTTACATACAGACATTGACATACATGTCCGTGCACACTCTTGATGATTTGTATCGTTAATTTCACGCACGGAATGACCAATTAATGCTTTATTAAGATTATCCTTGTTTATTTGAAATGGTTTACACGTGCTTGAATAAACAGTTCCGAGTAAAACAAAGTTAATAATTACAAATCCAGCAAGCAAAGCCATAGTTTTAAACTGATGTAACGTGAGTTTTTAGTCAACCAATACAGAAATGAAATCTGTATGATGACCGTATCTAAACACACGGGACACTCGCGTCACTATGATATGAAATGCCAGTCTCCCGTTTTAATCGATACAGCGCACGCGCAAGTTCAAGATCTCTATTGTAGCGAATGCGAAAGCTATAGACTTTTGTGGCTTAACCCTTTACCTCATATATACGCGAAACAACGCACTTTCGACCCCCCCCCCCTTTCTAGGCCTGAAATAGTGAAAAAATGTCCTATTTGAGCCCCAAACACATGTTTTCGTTTGAGAAATGTTGCTAAAAAAAGTGAGCATTTTTTCGGCGCCGCCCCCATCCAAAAGATACATCAGGGGATTGCCAGAATTGGGATGTGCCCCCTTCTGTTTGGGGGGTTTGAAGAAAATTTTGGACTTGTGAGAGGCTTAAAATGACCCCAGGTCGATCATAAGTAACGTGTAACAAACGCTGAAAAACCTTTGACTCTATCTCAATCCCTTGAGAAGTTGCAGCACTTTGAAATAAATTTTGCTGGAAAAATCGAGGCAAAATAGTGATTTTTGGCAATTTTGAGATGTCCCCTCGTTGCCATGGTAACAGGAAATTTAAGACTGAGCATGTTGTTACAAAGGCAATGGTCCAGTCAACATTTGTGCCAAGTTTGATTAGTATTGAAGCATTTTTCATAGTTTCATAGCAGTTTGAACTTGTAACAGGAGGCTTTTCAATGAAAACGGCCATTTTCACAATATGCTCATGGGGGAAAGGGTTAACTACAAAAAATTATAAATGTTACAAAACAACAATTTTTCACCAAAATTAGGTGAAAGACCACATGTTAACATGGAAAAACTAGATTTTGGTTGATTCCAAAGTTTTTCATCATTTTTTAACGTCCAATCAGAAATATAGGAATAAGTGTCGTATCCTATTAAAAAATGTTTTTTTTTTTGGTTTGAAAACATGAGCATTTTGAATATCTAGCACAATCTTTTTCACAGTAAAGTAGAGATAAAGTATTTCAGAAAAGTATATATTAAAAGAAACAACCATCACTTATAAATATAATATAACAAATTATTAAATTTATTTAATATTGTTCATCAACTGTTCAAATCTGTTTTAAGAAATTAACAATAATGCCTATGGGAAATAAATTAAATTCATCCATACATGCATATCAATAGTTAATAAATATTTAAATGAATTTTGTATGCTTATGGGAAATTTTCTTATTCGTAAATACTGATTTTACTTTGTTATTGGCTATAAAGTTGATGTATATCAAAAGTAAAAAATATTTAAATATAGGTTTATTTGCAGAGAACATATTACAGAAAAATGCCCTTGCATTGTAAGTTGGACATATACCGGCTCATGCCTCCCGATTAACTCCGTACCGCCCTGGGGTCCTGAAAAAATCCAGTATGTGTTTCGGACGAACAGACAACCCAGCAATGGACTTATTGGTATTTCTTTGATATTTATGTAAAACTTTCCGGCATATGTATGACAGAGAATTTCTACTTAAACAGACGATGTATGTAGTTTCTTCCTTTGTTTCAAATGAAATTATTGACGACATGAAGATCATAATCCATTGACTGTTGGCCGGTCCCGACGGAATGACGGATGCTTTCCTATATCGAGGAGACGGGGATACTCGTTATGTAAAAACGGAAGAAATGTTACAGGCTCGGTTACATTGAGCATGTTCATGGACGGTAGTGGCAAGTACAAACTATACAGTCAAAGCTCCTATCACCGGCTTAAGCAGTATTCAACAGTTTAACAAGAAAATGGTGATTTTTTTAAAAATAATCAACCGAAAATGTATTAAAACGTAAGTGACCATAGAACATTCAATGTGAAACGTTCGTGCAATTCGATGAAAAACTGCGTACGGTCTCCAATAAATAAACTGGTATTTATATAAGGAAGCATTTGAAACTTAATATTTTGACTAATTCATGTACTCGTACAATTTTAGACATGTTTTAAAACCACATCACTTACATGTATTTCGGTTGAACATTTAATTTTACTAATTTTGTTTCATTTAATAATTCATTGAATTATGTTTTATTCAAGTGCATAAAACTGATGTTGTTATAACTAAAAGCAACGCAATGACGGGTTCCTTGTAAATTATGCATAGATTGAGTTGATGAATGTTTGAAAATTAATTGATATTGCTCAGTCTAGAGATTGGACACTGATAGTTGAGACCAAAGTAGGTCAGTTGACTGATGTATTGTTTGTCTACTTGATTATTTGTTCCTTAAATTTTAAGGTAGTCTTACTGCAATGCTTTCCCGCGAAAAAAATTCTAACATCCGCCGTTATCGTAATAAATCGGTCATTTCCCGAACGTTATTTTTCACAATTTTCGGTATTCAATAACTTTTAACAGTTTATAACTGGAATTTGATATTTCTATAATAGACATAATAATTAGTTATTATAAACAGATTAGCATTAGCAGTATAAGTAACGAGGACAAGGTAAATGAATTTCATTTTGTTTAGTGATGTGATATTCTAAATCTTGAGCAACGGTTTTTATGATAATTTGTAAAAAAGACAAACAAAGAAACTTGCAATATTGTACTAATACGTATGATAATGCTGTGCGACCTCCGTTTGTCATAATTATAGAGGCATTTGCCCTGAAAAGATAAGAAGTTGCTGCCCTTTATCCAGCATTTACTAGCAATTCTGAAAATACTTTTTCACCAAACATTATGGACAGATTAAATTTGAATTTAAGATAATAGTTTGTTACTATGCCAACCAAAAGAAAGGAGTCTTTGAAAATCTTCTTCTCTGAAACCACAATGTCAAGCGCCTAGATTTTCTGCATGTAGCATCGTGTAATAGTTTTTTTTATAAAATAATTGCTCAAATTGTGTCCCTGGGGTCAAAATTGGATCAACCCTAGGGTTATATATATATATAGACTGTATATGGAAAACTTTAAAAAATATTCTTCTCTGAAATCAAAAGCTCAGGGGCTTTGATATTTTGCATTAAGGATAATGTTATGGTTGTCTATGAAAATTTTGAAATTATGTGCCTGGGGTTAAAATTGGCTCCACTCAAGGGGTCTCATATTTTATATAGACTTATAAAAGATATATCTTGTCTGAAACCAACAGCGCTAGAGCTTTGATATATTTTGCATGAAGCATCATCTTATGATTGTCTATGGAAATTGCACAACAATGTTTATTTACGTGAGCGTAACAGGGCCATTATGGCCCTCTTGTTATAGTGATATATATGTTGAAAGTTATTTTGAAGTATTTCAAATTTACTCATAAATCTTGCTTTGTTTCAGCTAATGAAAATACAGACCTTACAAAATAGCATTTGTGTGAAAAGGGTTTATTTATGATCTTTATTTTCCATGAGCTCAGACAGGGATTTTTATAGATTTGACCAATGCCATATAGTTAAAAGCCACAGTTGAAATATCCATTTTTTTAAATCAACATATGAGCCGCGTCACGACAAAACCAACATAGTGGGTTTGCGACCAGCATGGATCCAGACCAGCCTGATCATCCGCGCAGTCTGAATCTAATCCATGCTATGCGCTGTCAGTTTCACCACTTGTGATAGAGTTGGTAAGCGAACAGCATGGATCCTGATCAGACTGCGCGGATGCGCAGGCTGGTCTGGATCCATGCTGGTCGCAAACCCACTATGTTATATTTTTAGGCACGTTTATGCTGATGAAGAAAATGCAAAGTTTTAAGCTTGGTTTGAATATATATATGAAATAGCTGTTGATGTACTGCCCCCCGATTAGAGTCCTTTATTCTGAATAACACATTCAGACCGCACGAAAATTAGTGCTTTCACACTAGCACATAGTCAGTGAGAAGTTTTATTTTAAAGAAATTAAAAAATGATTGATGAATTTTAAACATTAAGTAATAAAGTATAGATTTTAAAATTATGAATGATAAATTTGAAAAATAAACTATGAATAATAAATTATAAATAATAAGTGATAAATAATAAATCATAAATAAAGGTTAATGCCAATATACATATGACTTATTATTATGTCTTAAACGTGTTGTATATTATATGTGTGTCACTTCTTCATGTGAAACATTGTTGACCTTTTTTATTTTTTATCTTGAATTTGTCTAATCTTTTATACATCTAACTTCTGATCTCAGGGAAACACCACACCAGGATACAAAAACCAAAAATGGACGTGGGAGAGATCGACGATCAGAATTCAAAGTTCAGTTGTTCAAGATGCATATAGAGTAGTCACATATGCAAAGGTTGGTGGAATTCAAATAATTTTATAAAGCTGACCAAGACATAACTGTCAATGATGGTGTTAGTGTTTTTCAAGAAAGGTTATAGTTGCTTTGGCCACATAGATAATATGTCAATTTATTCGATAGATCCACGTGGAGAAATAATCAATGAATTCACTTATTTGAATGGAACCAAATGTTCTTATGCAGAATATGTAAAAGAACAAGGAGTGTTCTCATGTCAGTGCCATTCAAAGAACAAAGTCTTTTGAGTCAAACTTGGGGCCATCTTATTTTTAGGGGGGAAAAAAGAATCAAATATTGAATAATCATTTTATTTTAAACAAAAAATGTTGAAGTTTACTTCTTTGGTATAAAAATACCTTGTGTTTTAAACATATGATCAGGTTTTTTTCCCATATTTTTAAAAAAATAATTAGCAAAATTTTTGGGGTGCACTTATTTCGTTCCCGCCCCAAAATTTCAGCGGTTGGCTCCAAAATATCTTTTTGTAAAAAAATTTAGAATGTTAATCAGATTTATTTTGCTGGTGGGGTTCGAGTAAGTGGTTGGGGGGACCTTTTTCCTTTTGGGGCCGATTTTCCAATTGAAAAATGTTTGGTTTATCAAATATCTGATGTTCATTTTTACCTTATATTTTAGAAAAACCCGATTTTTTTCAGTTTTTAAGCTTGG